ATGTCACGGTTAAAGTATCTGATAGATCAAAAGTGAAGTAAAAAGTAGATTGTAGAATTTTCTGTTGGTGTATTATAATGAATTTAGAAAGCGTAATTAATAAAAATAGTGGCAAGAAGACAAGTCTGTTAATGATGAAACTTTCTAGTTTTATATTTGTTGACACCTACCACTTACAGTCCCAACAGTCATTTAATCAATATTTGTATAAGCTTGTCGTACCAGAAATTTCAGTTCGCCTACTTCTTTTTACTTCACTTTTGATCTATCAGATACTTTAACCGTGACATTTTGTATGTTTAATCTAGAGACATTGATTAGTAGTTTACTAAAAACTTCAATTGAAAGAATACTTTTTGGCCAAGTTTTGACTATTTTTTTTAAAAATAATCTAACATATCGAAAATAACTAGTAATAGTAAAACATTTGTACTTTTTCAATCAGAAATTATATATCTTATTAACTACGGTGATAACTAAGCTAAAATTCTTGTTGGTGATTAGCAGCATATGAGTAGACCTATATCTTCACTTAATATGTCAAGTTCGTAGTGACATTGATTCTCGAAATACAGAAAAGCTCTCTTGATTTTATGAAATATTGGAACAAAACATAATAATATTTTAGGTTCATTTTTCTTTCTATTGAAAACAAATGCTTATACTCCTAATCAAGGCATCATGTTGTTACTCAAACAATGCACTAGAAGCAACCTGCGAGCCATTTCTATGTCATCATATCGGTCCAATCTTATCGGCAATCAATCTCAAACAAGGTAAAATATTTGTGAAGGATATATTTTAACTTTAAACACAAATGTTAATATATTCGTAAGAAAATATCATTTTTTGTTGGTGTCATCAATATTAATTTTAAGTAATCAAAACAAGAGGATTATACATACATCATATTTTGATTGCTGTAACGATTCTAGCAGCTGTTGTTCATTATGAATCAAGTTTTGATGTTGATATTGAGGGTTAATATTAAAACGATGAAGTAAACGTTTTTGTTGTTTAGCTATCATTTTATTACATTTTCTTAACGATATAAATGATGTGGATTTACTACCATTTTTGTGTTTTGTACGTCTATTGTTATTGTTGTTGTTATTGTTCAATGGTGATGAGCAAGACGTACGATATGGATCATTTATCAGTTGTTGTAACATTGATATGACTACGAACGTTATTTTTCAAATAAATAGTTCATTTCATTTTATAGTGAGTCTATCCCCAAAACAAAAACAATACACAATAATGACACGCACGGAGTCTATGTGTCGTACCATCACCAAGAAGAAAGAACAAAAGAACGAAAAGGTTATTTTCTTTCCATTTTTTCACAAAGTACATAGAGGGCTTTTTTCTCTGGCACCTTCATCATTAATATAACTCTGCTTTTTTGATGGTTTTCTCTCTCTCTCTCTCTACCATTTTTTCTTTCTTTCTTTTTCTCTCGATTAGATTAAAAAACAAAAAATATATCTCTACAATTTTTGCTGAAACAATTATTATTTTTGCTTCACTTATTTTTCCACACATCAAATTGCCAAAATCAAGAATAATAATAAAACACACAAACAATCATTCAACGGTTTACATTGTTTGTTATTTTAATAGAAGAGAAGAGAAAGAGAAAAAAATACTTATATTGAATAATAAAGACAAAAACTGAAAGATTTTTAGACACTATCAAGGTAAATGGATGAAATGATCGGATGTTGTAACCTGACAAGAGTTCAAACAAGTATTATAAATGAAAAAAAATGAACACAGAACAGACAAAATGCAAAAGAAAAAATTTATATGATCCACTTTATTTCTCGAATCAGTTATAAGTGCATTCTTTTTTATTACACATTCTGTTATTTAACTATTCTATGTTTTTTAAAATAATTGTAAAAAATAGTCTGACACATAAAGAGTTGATTTTCTAAAGTTATTTCGGTACAATTTTTTAAAGTGAGATAGGGTGACAATTCATGTAATCAAAGGCATCCTTTTGTTATCTAATTAGTCAAATAAGATGCAAATTTGACTCCATTATATAACAGTTATGTTAAATTAAATATTTATGAACAAAGAGAATGTTATCTTTTCTTGTTACTCTCATTTGTTAAGAAGAAATGTGACAGGATAAATGTCCCTATCAAGATGAATCGATGATTTTCATCCTGAGATTGATGCATGACTACTGATGAGGTTAAACGCATGATAGACGAAGAAATTTGGCACCTTTCATCATACTATTGTATATTCATTTACTACACTACTAAATTATATATTAGAATTTACTTTTCACTTAAACAATTTTATATCTCAAATACAGACATCGATAAAACATGTTTAAGAAAAACATGGTTCATATACATTAATTTTATCAATTCTCTATTATCGGACTTTAAATAATATGTATGTCATTAATACGTTGAAATGCGAAAACTTTTTGCTGCAATATATAACATGATGTTGTGAATTATAATATGTAATAAAAATAAAATAAACATTCAATATGACTAATTTTTAGTCTTTTTACCAGTTTAAGTTAAACAGTTTATTGCATTAAAACAAGTAGAAGATTGTGATGCAATTCATCAATAGTTGAATCTTATCAATAAACAGAAGAGATTTTTTTTTTTCTAATATACTGCAATTTGATTATCACTGAAATCAGCCTCTATCACAACTGTTGTAGTGGTTTTTCTCATTGGTTCAATGGATTATTAAACCATTTCTTTTACTCATTTCTATGGATATATTTAATTATTGAGTTAGAAATTGTTCGAGTTGAATACAAAAAAAATCACATCGTTATGTTATTCAAATTAAATTTGAAACTTATTGATTTGAAACAAACTTATAAGCATAGTACAATAAGACGCTGAGTGAACGATAATGATCTCGTTGATTGAACAAAATTGGTCGTTCATTGACCATTTAAGTCATGATTAATAATATATTTTAATAACTCAGTTCGTCATGATGAAATGAAATATCATTGTTTATTATTATTTAATCGATGTGTGTCTATAAGCACGGATAATAATCTAGAATAAAATGAGAAGTCATACTGTTAGTCAATCAAGACAATGTCTCTCAACATAAAAATCGATTTATTTTCACATACTGTGATCAGACTCGATTTTTCTGATTTAATAATATTGCTGGCATAATGTGTTGTCTTCACATAACACAAATAAATCACTGATAAAATAGATGATTTATTTATGTAATAAAATAAAATGATAAATTATCTTTTTTTTAACATTATGATTAGTTTCTTTTCTAAAATTTTATTAACAAATAAGAAAAAAGACCATAACAACAGAATTAATAATGAGGTTTTTTTTTCTGTTAATAATAATTAATGTTCACATAACACAGCAAAAACAAAAAAAAAAAATTTAATGTATTTGTTGAAAGAGAAAACGAACAAAAAAAGAGATAACAAAAACAGACAAGAACAAGCAGAAAACTGTAGAGAACTTTTAAGAATTAATGATAATAATACTTCATCTGACTTTGAAAAAAAAAAAGAAATGTTAAATCTTAATATTATTTTTTGAGTTTTTTTGTACAGTTATTTTTTAAAGAGGATATAGAGAAAATAAAGAAACACAAAAAGGTAAAATATCCTATACTATCCGTGTGACCGGGACACAAATATGGAAGAAAGACTGAACGACAAAACTAGAGCATTTAAAAACAAACAAACAAACATTAAACACGCATGTACAAACGCAGACTAAAAAATAAATCTTGCTGAATAGTGCAAAAATTCCCGAGATCAATAGCTATTGATAAAAACACGAAAAAATATTTATCAATATACGTGCATGTGCAAAGGAGAATTCATCGATCATATGACAATGTTATTTGATATTCATGAAATGGTTGAACTTTATATTGCACAAGTGATTCTAAAAACCTAAAAATAAAAATAAAAGATAGTTATGAGTTTGATATTTAACTCTAATTATTTTTTACTTACCATTCTGGTGTTAGAAAATGAACGCCAACTTTAACACATTTATCATACATTTCTTTTCGATTACGTAAATATTCTTTTTCACATAAAACAACTCGTATAATTGAACGCGATATTCGAGAAAAATGTGAATCCATTGTATAATGTGCACCACTTAATTGAACAAGTTCAATTAATTCATCATTATTCATCATATCTTGACATCCATCACATTTAATCATTATTGAATAATTATCAAGAAGTAACGTTGGTGGCAAAGTTTTTGGTAATACACTTAAACGTGAACGTTGCATACCTGAATAATATTTATATTATTTTCATTAGAGAATAAACATCAAAATTTGTTACTTACCATTATGATCTGGTGAAAGTGTTAAATCACCACAAATTTCATAAATATTCTCATCAATTATTTTTCCTTTTCTTAAACATTCGTTTATCCATCGATAACTAATAACATACATGTGTCTTGCAACAGCTTGAATGACTTTTTTTGATAATGGACATATTAACGATGTATCCTCTTCATCCGTAATCAAATGTGTTGTGGTTTGATCAACAATTTGAGACATTTTTATTTCAAATTTAGTACAAAATTCTTTTAATTGTGCCTGAAAGTAACATAAAATTTTAATAATGAATTATCGATAATAAAATCTTATATGTACCATTCATACTTACTATTTGATCATCATTCAAACAAGTACTTGTAATAATAATTTCATCTTCTCTATCATATTTCCATGTTAAACCATTAGTTGATTGTGCGGGTATGATATCCATTAAACAATCAATATTTACATCATCGTCATCATCATTATCATTTTGAGATGATAATTTTACATTTAGTTTATTTTCAATTGATAATTTTTCACTGGTAGTTTGAGTATTCGAATTATTTTTGTTATTAGTAGATGATGGTTGTACAGTACGAACCATTCGCTGTTCATATTCTTGCTTAACTTTTGGTATATTTGAATTTGTTGTTGTTGATTTATTAACAACCGACGGATTACACTGAATCCCAATTGAACGTGTGGAAATACCGTTGTAAAATTGTGATCGATTTACTATAACAAATCCATGCAAAATTAAACCAGATAAATGCCATTCAAATAGAACTTATTTAGAGAGAAATTGTTAATAGTGATATATATCTGAATTAAGATTATTTCACATCATGAACATTAACTTACAATTTGCAACGTGTTTTGTTGATGGTTCAAGTTTTAATTTTATACTACTGCGTTTTCGTTGATGTTGTTTTTGAACAAGTGGAATTGTTGATTGTCTCAATTTTTTTTGTCGTCTTCTTAGAATTGCTCTTGCATTATTAAACCACGTTCCAACTTGTTCATAGGTTATATTCGATAGATTAGCCAAGTTTATTTTATCATCATGTGTTGGATAAGGATTATCTTTATGATCGTGTAACCATTTTTTCAATGCACTAGTTGGAAATTTCTCTCGACTCGCTGACAACAAATTAATTAAGCTATTTTCAATATAATCAACTGACAAATCATCATCATCATCACTATGTGCATTTTCTTCACTGTCTAGTTCTTCTTCTTCATCTAACAAAAGAGTGAAAGATACTTTATATCGGTCATCTTTTACAGACAGAAACTTACTCTTTGCATCTTCTTTTTCTTCTTCTTCTTCTTCTTCTTCTTCTTCTTCTCCTTCTTCTCCTTCTTCTTCTCCGTCAAAACTGCCTACAAATAAAATATGAATAACATTTCCTACTATTAAATGTATGGTAGAACTAGTGTATATTAATTACTTGACATCATATCAATACTGTTTCCATTATCATAATTTTCTTCATCTTCAAATTTATGTTTCATTCGAGATAAACTTTTCTTCGTTAAAGAGGTATCTCTTCCTACAAAACGAGAACATCTCAAAATTCAACTTTCTATCATTACATTCCAAACGCAGAGAGGATGGACATGTTTAACAATTCATAGCCCTTTTACCTCGTTTTTCACGTGTTGAATCGGATAATGATGAATTGCTTTTTGATGTTGTTGTCTGGTTATCACGTCTGGCTAAGTCCAACTGTCCGTTATATTGTAAATAATGTTTACGACACAATTCATTTTTTTGTGCCGCAATAAAACAATGAGGGAGTGAACAGGTTTTTCGCCATACAATACCATCAAATTTTTTACGTGAACCGTTTTCTAATATAACAACATCACCTTTTGTTGGTTGATCCAGATTTACGGATGATGAAGTAGCAGCTACTGTTAAACGACGACTAGGTTTTGGTACTTTATTTCCAAAGTATGTCAGACGGCGACGATGGCTACCGACTGATGATTTTGCACGACGACCACTCGCTTTTTTCCTTGATGATGTAAAGGACGTCGAACTTGTTGCTACAAACGGTGTAGTTGTGGTTTTCGTTGGCTTTTCAGCTGATTCATACGTATCAATTTTTTCTACATCATTTGTTGGTAGACGAATCGACGTTCGATCACATTTTTGATAATAATAGTGCTGTTGTGGTTGATGTGCTGAATCCGTTTCAGTAATATTCGATTGATTTTCTTGCCAATGCTTTGGGCATAGGCCATTCGTATAATAGACGGGACCTTGTACAAGTGTCAAACAGTTATCTCTACTACATAAACGTCTATATTGCCTTCCATCGAACTTTTTTCGTACACCGTTCTCCAAAACGAGGATGTCGCCTTTGACAGGATTAACGGGCGTTTGTGACTGTTGTGCTCCAACAGTTGTATCAGATGTTGTCACTTTGGTGGAATTAAGAACGACCGATGATGAATCATTTAAAATTTGACTCAAATCAGTATCACTGTTTGGCAAATCCATTTGATTTGTAGTCGTTGTAGATTCTTCTTCAGGTGTTTCTTCCATTTCTTCTCGCTGAAGTTGTAAAAGATGTTGTTTACATAAGCATTTACTTTGCATATAATACGGACATGCAGGTTTACTGCATAGTTTTCTCCTAAAAACCACAAATCGAAATTTTCTTGAACAGTAGACACCAATAATGATTCATTTCCACTTACCATTGGATACCATTCCATTTTTTTCTAATTCCATCTGTTAATGTTATTATATCACCGTTTGCCGGTTTTGTAGACAAAGGATTTTGATTTGTTGTTGTTTTTATCGATGGTTTTCGAATAGTATTTTCATCGATTGTTGTATGTTCTTGTGTTGTTGTAGCAGATGCACTTTTGCGTGATAACACATCTGATGTTGTTGCTATTGTCGTTGCTGATTGTTGTTGTTTGGTTGAGCCTCGAGTACGACTTCGATTTGGAACATTGGTGACTCCTGATGAAGATGAGACCGATGCATGAACTCGTTCTGTCAACGATTTATCATCATACGCATCCTTCTTATCACCCATATTTTTGAACAACTTGAATGGTCTGAAATAGAAAAATAAAATATTTTTAACTTTCAAATCGAGATTACAGCTATCTGGCTCTATATCTTATACATCAGAAGCGAATACTAAAGATATTCGAACTGATTTCCATTAATTTCGCCCTAATAAAGTTTTACGGTTAACTTATGCTGGTTCAGCTCTAGTTCGAAAGTTATAAAACAGATGCAGAATGTATCCATCTCAAGCATCTATAAGCACTACATATGTTTATATTTATGAATGCTTGAGATATATCAAGTAAAAGTCTGTAGCCTATTCATTGATATTTATCCAGTCTACTACGTATTTATGAACTTATATGATACTGTATTCTTACTAGAGACTGTATCTGGTGATATAGTATGTATCCGTATTGTAATATCTGTTTAATTTTGTACCGAAGTGAAGAAGATAGCAAAAAAACAACATGTTTACAATTGTAAATTTTATTGAACCAGAGAAAATTCAGATTAACACATACACAACTACACAAAATTTTTTATTTGTACATAAACAACAAGAAACACATGCTCACAATGAGCAAACGGAATTTTAATGTACAGTAACATTTTTTGGTTTAAGCCGAAAAAATCATTTTTAACTACATCTAGAATGGCTCATTCAAAAGAAGAAAAAACCCTACGATAATGTTTCGTTTTGAACAGTCAATATCTATTTTTGTTTTCCATTGAGATTTATTGTCCCTATTTAATGACGTTGACAACAGTCAATATCTTTCGTTTACATTCGCGGATGACTTTTTTTACATCTGCCATTTTTCTGTGCTATATTAAAACACCCATCTTTTTTGCAAATATCTCTCAAGGTAAAACCATCAAATTTCTTTGGAACGCCATAGTCGTCGTTAACGATTGCACCTTTTTCATATTGCGTTAGTGATGATAATTTTCCATTCGATGTGGTTGTCTTTGAAGGAGAACGTTTTTTAGGTTGAGGTGGAGAATAGTTACCATTATTGACACATGATGTCAATAATATTTGATCCAGCGATTGGTCTTCGCCATTTTGAACAGTTGGTTTCTTTATCTTTGCTACTCGTACAAAATGTGTACGATGTCTATTTCGTGTAATTTTTGTAGCAGAATTATTATTTCTTGTTGAGGACGATGAAGTATTGATTGTCTTTATCGAATTATAATTAGGTTTTAATTGTGTTGTTATATGACTAAACGAAGATTAAATTTTTAGGTAATTAAGAGCAGAAAAGATGTGTGTTCAAAAACCTATGAAAATAAGCGCTCAATTTGATAAAGATCTAAAACATCTAATTTTGATTTAATTTTGCCAATTATCTCCCTCCGGCGTTTAGTTACAATCGGACATTTCCTGCAACCGAATAATAATTATATTTTAGAGAAACAAGGCATTGAGAATATAATCCATACCTTACCTTCTTTTACATCGCTCATTACTTTGTGCAATATTGGCACAGCCTTCGAATTTACAAACAATTTTATATTTATTTCCGTCAAATTTTTCTTCTAATCCATGATGATTGACTCGTATATCTCCTTTTCTTGGATTTAAACTTTCGTTCGCTTTTCCATTGACTATCTTCATTTTTTAAACTATTTTTACGTTGTTTGGTCTAAAAATAAGACAAACGGATAATCAGAGGACAAAACATTTGATACGCAATGTACACAGCTTAGTCGGATCTATCTCCACTCGATTATATGAGACATTTGTACCACCTCAGATATCCTAACTCTAAGTGTACCGTCTGAAAAAAGGAACTTTCTATAGTAAATGCATACTGCGTATTTTTTTTAGAAATTGCTCCACACATGTATAATAGTACAAGCCACATCTAAACGAACGAAAAAGATTTTGTTGCATAACAGAGAACCGATAGAGCAATGATGATGCATGCGCGAATAAAAATTAAGCAGTGGCAGATCGGTGCAGCGGCTTCTTAACCTTGGCGGTGTGGTGCATAAAGTTGTACGTATATCTGAGGATAAAAAATTGGATTTCTGCCAGCTGACTTTAAAACTTACACTGAATCGATCTCAAAAAAATGTACGTAGTGAAGAAAGCCCTGAACCCGCTCCTGTTAACTAGTGGTAATGTATTGTCTTGTATATCATTAGGTTTTTTTCGTATAAACTTGCACCACAACCATTTTTAAATTAATATCCGTCCTATTTCAGAGACCAAATACTTGAAGATCAGATATATCTCAATGAAACAACCTAACGATGAAATTTAAAATGTTCTCTACAGTGTACTTCAAGAAAAGGAAATCCACAAAAACAAACAGAGATAAATCAATCAAAAATACTGCGCCATTTTGTACATTCATTATGATTATAATTAATCCTTATTGTTTTTTGGCTCCAAATATCAGTGCCAGAAAATGTGTACCTCAATAACAGAAATCTATTGTGCTCTAACTTGAAGGGCATGCTCGGAGCTAATGTATAAACAGAAACAGCGATATTAACGTCAAATATTAACTGATCAAAATAATAGATCAAAATGTTCAACTGTTATTAAGCAGTCCATAATCCAATTAAATATCAATATTTTTAACCTAATAAAGATGTTTAATCATTTATATATGTAATAGTGACAGAACAAGATTGAAAACTTTAACTTCTGTTTTTATGTTACATATGACTTTTCAGAGGAATATCTAAAGAATAATTAATTGACCTATGAATTAAGGATGCAGATGTCACTTCCTGCCGAATTATTGAACTGAAGTGAACAATATTTCACCAAAAAATTCAAATATTCTTTTAGTGGACATGGCAACTAGTGTAAAAAAGATTCGGTGTTAGCCTAATCCAAGTCTCGTTTGTACTAAAAAATATTTGCAAATTTAAAGTAAAACATAGAGTATAAATATTTATGTAACAGTTCAATGTGCAAAAACAATATCCGTTTAATAAAAATATATCTAAATATTTACAAGTTAAACAACTTAAATCTGTCAAACAATAGTAAAGTTACGTAGGTTGGAAGTAACTGACAATATATGTATTCAAGGAAAACGATCATCGAGCTGAAGTGATCGAATATTGATATTTTTATGTTTTATTATAAGTGAGAAAAAGAAATTGATAGCTTGAAGTTCTCCGATAATGAATGCAATTATTACCGTCATCTTCAGTCTCTAGAATATTTTGAATATATCGAACATCAGTTAAAGATTCTGGAAGGTGTTTCATAAAAGTTCTTAAGTGCTCGACTTAACTAAGTAGACTTAGTTAAGTCGAGCACTTAAGAACTTTTACGAAACATTCTTCTGAACGCCGGAAATTTGGTAATAAAAAACAACGAATTGCATTTGTATTAAAAGCAGTGTTACCATTGATATTTGCATGAGGAATCATTGTTGATGTTAATTAAAACCTCCATGAGATAATTGTGTTTTAGTACAGTTTAAATTTTCACCTTTTTCTTTTTATTGCGGTGAATCCCCCTATGTTCCCCACATGTGTCCCAATGGATCAAACCTTTTAGGACGGCCTTCTATTTGGGGTGACCTTCTAATCCGACCTTCCAACCAAAATTTTCTAAAAGTTTTCGAGGCTAAAAATAAAATAATTTTTTTCGTTTCACAATAGTTAACTAATTGGTGTTCTAGAGCACTCAACAATTCAGAACCGGGATTTTAGACCGCCTTTACATCTTCGAAGCTTTGCTAACCGAAAACAGTTGGATGAAATAATAATAAATAATCGTATTAGAAGTGATCGTATTAGAAGGTCATGGCCTTCCAATATGGATTTTACAGAATTGTCTCAGAGGTGACCTGCTAATCGGGATGGTTTTCTATTCTGAGGGGAAGAGGCTTAGTTGTTTCTGTTGATGAGCACATAAACCTTTTGATCGAACTAAACAATCCGATGTTATGTTTACATAGCATTTCCCATTGTTGACCTCTAAAGCTGTGTATTAATACCATTTACATCTCTAAATATGATTTGAACTTATTGTCATAAACTATACCTCTTATGCTAATTCAACATTATGCGATGATTGAGAGTTAGATGTTCACGATGATGACGATGATTGAGCCATGCACCGAGGCACACATTTATCCTTTTTGCACATAGTTTCTCTTCTGGTGAGCTTTTTTATATCAGCGGTAAGCATCCTAGGCTTTCTAGCTTGGTATGAAAAATATAGCAAATTGAATTTTACATCAAATGAGAAACGCCTTATAACCGGTGACTTTGCACTAGAATGCGTCTTTAACAAGAAAAACGTGTTACTATGTAAAAGCGGTAATTAGTATTTCCCTCAGCTGGATTGCATTCTGTAGAAATCATTAGGTTAACACTCTTAACCACTTGGAGACGACTGTGGGGGGAAAAGCGGGATCAATCAAACCCGTTTTCGATTCCTTTATGAGCATTTGACCCCGATATGATCTTGTGTTTCTTTCTATCTTGTGTAAATGCGTCAGGCATTTGGAAAGAGTATCAGAAAACGATTCAAGTTCGACCAAAACTCACATTGTCGATCACCACATTAGTAGACTACCGTAAATTTATTCTAGCACTTCATTTATCGAAAGTTATGTTTCATCCAAAAGATGAACAATCGTAGTTTCAAATTCCAATTAATGGAGAAAATCGTTATATTCACAAAAGTACTGTTTGCCAGTTGTAAAAAAGCAAAAACCGTTTATCCAGTGCACGTGTGGAGCGAGTACAACAAGCAATTCATTAAGAATAAAGTGTTCTGCTATTCGTGATTCCAATTTTTTTTAAGTTATGAAAAAGCATTTTTTTCTCTCATACAAAATTTCATCTCATCATGTGGAAAAGCCCGGTATAAGACCGCATTGATGTTTGAAGCTTTTATAAAGTGGTGAGTAGCAGTTCGCTCCTGTTTGATACACAAAGGATAGCGGCTCAGTCAGTCCTCATTCACAGAATGTTAGATTAGGTTTAACAACGAACTGGTATTTGCATTAATATCTACGGATACACATTCTCTAAAAGTGCAAGCGTGAATATTTAACTCTATAAAACATCAATTTTGCTCTCACATTTTCCGGTTATATGTCGCACCAAAGCTGAGACTTGGTAACAAAAAAGAACATCCGAATATTTCGTCTGGAGAAAGTTCACGATGTTAACTAGTTTATTAAAAAGAGTGAAATTTAGATAATTTAATTTAGTTCAATTTTTAAAAACGAAAATTGGTAATAAAGAAATAAATTTGCTCTCTTTATGCTGACAAAATAATCTTTATACGACTCTCAGTCCTTCTGTTATGATCCTTGAAAACCGTGTTTGCCCTTTGAGTCTGACTTTTGAAAGTGTTTTCGGCAAAATACGGTCTTATTGCTAAATAGTCCTTTCTTACTGATAAAAATTAGCTTTTATGCTAAAGAAGAGTGAAGATTACTGATCTGATACTAAAATAGCACTACTCGAAAAAAAAAATCGAGTTCAAACGAGACCGACTCTTAATGGTCCCGAGTCCGAGTCTTTGAACTCGATGCATGCCTAATGATGAATCATCTAACAAAATATTTTAAAAAGTTGTTTGTGTTAAATTAAGCGAAAAACATTACAAAATTATTGGGACTATATTGTCGTTTTATTGACTCTTTTGTAGAATTACAAAAGCGGAACAAATCAGGTATTTGACTGCAAATAGTACTTCAGTGTAGTTGCTGTTATAGTTTTCCTCTTTTCTAGAAATTATACAACAGAGATAACTATAAAACTTTAAAAATTTCAAAGGGTACAGCTATTGTTGAGAAAGAAATTTGTGCAATGAATCTACAATAGTTGAAATATATATATTTTTAATTTTTGTTTGAAAAAGACTGTTAAGAAAATAATATGTTTTTCTGCAAAAAATATAGTACGAGAAAATTGAAACTTTTTTAGTGATTATGAAATTAGGGAAGTGGGAGTGACTCCAATGATTATGGTTGATTATTTTAGATAGATTAGTAAAAGAAAACTAAAAAGATGGATTACGCATTATATGGATAATACATTTTAAAAAAAATGACAATGAAAATACAAGAGTGAATGTAACGACAATATAGCGACTAGAATAAAAAAAATGTGAAAAAAAAAGATGAGAAATAAAATAAATAATGTTATATATCTATCAGAACAAAAAACATTTTAATCTATACAAATTCATGGAGAATGCTAATAGTAATGAATAAGATAAAATAGGTTTTAAAAAAAAATACACTATAATCATATAGAAGAAAAATTTAAAAATGATTAAAAATATATTTTTAGTCAGAAAATAGCAGATTGGCGTAGCCAGTGAAGAGTCAAAAATGCGATAGTTTATAAATATTTATAACTCTCAACTTTTTTTGGTCAATTTTCTAGCAGAAAACCGTTTATAAACCCATTTATAAATCAAAAATCTATAAATAAACGTTTATAAAGCAATTTATAACTATTTCAGACATTTTCCAAACCATTTTGGACTCTTCAGTGGCCGTAGCTAACAATTTTCATTTATCGCATTTGGTGCTTCCTCCATGAATATGAATACCAAAGAAAAGTTAAAAATAAACGGTAAATCTACTATGACGAAACAATATATTCAGATCTAGCATGCATAATAAACAGTAGTTAGTCAATTAGAATTTTTAATGAGTTAGAAGATCAATTAATGTTAAATGTCTGTCGATTGAATGACATTTTGTTCTAAATTCTTTATCGTTCATTTCCTGATAATGAATCAAGTCTTGAATAGTTGAACAAGTCTGTAGTTGCGGACAAATTTGTGCCGTAGATAATGTAGAAGTTTCAGTTGATGTTGTATACGATGAGAAAGTCATAGGAGAAAATACTGAATAATCGTTATCCTATAAAATATATAAAAAAATAAATTGATAAAATTATATTATCAATAAATTAGATGTCACATCATTTTTCAACAAAAAACTTAGCGAGAATATTATCTATAATTTACCATCATTTCTTTTTTAACAGCAATTGGTATATCTTCATTTGTGCTTATTTGACAAGGTTCTTTATAAATATTTTGGACGTTATTAGAATAATCACCCAAAGGAGGATACGATACATCGGTTTGTGATGCTTGTTCAACTTTTATTTTAATCTAAACAATAGCTATTTTTAAAAGAATTCAAAAGATAGCGAAAAATGTTCTTACGTCTTCCACTTGTTCGTAAGATGACGGAGGATGCTGAACTGTATTAGTAGGTGTTTGAAAATGAACTGATTGCAATGCTTAAAAAATAAGATCAGTTCTATATTTATCTTTATCGAATAAAGAACAACATACCCTTTTTGTTTCGGTTATCTTTTCGAGCACCTGCTCTTTTCTTAATAATTTTCTTTTGTATTTTATCGTTCGAAGATGTTAATTGTTGTTCACGATGTTTATTGCAATAGGAATTTTTGAGTGCTCGTGAATGACAAGTATGATCTTGACACAGAGTTCGCCACTTATTTCCAACATATTCATATCGTTGGCCATTCTGTATTTTAGTAGATCCTTTGATGGGTTTGATGAGTTTGATGTCTAGACTTGATTTGTCTAAATGAAAAAATAAAATCATCACTAATTCTTCTTTGAATAAGAATCGGTATTTTTAAATGTGTGAATACTTACCATTAGAGGTTGTTCGTCGATTATTAGCAGCAGCAATTTTAACATAATGCTGTTCGGAATTTGATTGAGAAATAACTGGTGTCGTATATATCTTTTTCATTTCGAAATAATCTTTATTATATCTAATAAAATGTCAAAATAAAACAATTATGGTTTTCATTCTGACTCTATAATTGATAGAGAGTAGAACAAAAAACAGTTGTTAAATCACTATCGATTAAGAATTATATTAAAACCCGAAGGTAAAGCAGTAGGAAGAAAATAAGATAGGAGAAAGTTCTCTACTTCAAGAATTATATTCTCAAACAATATATTATTGCTCAATATTTTATCTATACTCTAACAACATTTGACTCACACTTGAAAAAAAAAATAGAATTTTCAGCCTGTATGACGATGTTTTTTACCCATTTTATTCTCTCAAATGTTATTTTAAATTGTTCGAAAAATGTTAAATGGTTTAGATATGCACTAAGATAGAAGCAAGCAAGATTCACTTTCTACAATCAAGATGAACAAAATTTAACAAAATACTCTTATGCATAAAGACGTGGACTCACAAGTTCTTCTCTTATCAAAAAATGAAAAAGAGTTATATTAGAAGAGGAAAAAAATATGCCAAGAATACTTTCCAAGTATTTACATTTTATTCTTGTAACAAAATAGCAAATATAGTAAAGTTTATATAAAGTAAAAAAAAATAGAAACAGGTATATAGTACTTAACATATCTGACTGTAATCGACGCAAAAAAAACAAACATACTGTTGTACTAGATTAAACAATGATAGAACAATATGCACAATAATGTAGACAAAATGAAACAGAAAAAAAAATCAACGTTTTATGCTAATACATGTTCTTTATCCTCACCATATAAATGTCTCGTTTATACAATAAATATATACGAAATTTAACCGTTATGAAATAGAAGTTTGCATGAATTTATTTTATCTGACATGTAATGTTAAACTAACTCTCATGTTTCAGTAGTCTAGAAATAAACTAAAACTGAAATGAACTAACAGACAAAAAAGATCGAGATTTTCATAAGATATTCTACCGTTTGTATCAACTATTTACATGAGGTACTTGTTATTTATCTGTGTTATTATTCTTGTGAATAAGCAAGTGTTGAAAAGAATTGTCTAAAAAACTGAAAATATAAATGTTGTTGAAAAAGTAATGTTGACTGTTGTTGATATTGATCATTTTGTGTTTGTGTCTGAATTGCTATTGAACGAAATTTTTGTTCATTTTGTAGATGAATAATTTGATGTGTTGGTATCTGTATGGACGTTGTCGTAGTGTTTTTGGTTAATGTATCAGACCATTTTTGATTTGTTGATGAATTCAATTGTTCTTTTAAAGAGGCAAACAGTTGTGATGAATAAGATTTATTTATTTTTGTACATAGAACATGCTGACATTGAATATCATGATGTTTTTGACAAAAACCATGTAATTCGTCTTCTAAGGGACATGTATCATGAATACAGAACTTTTTTGAATTATGTTTGATTTTATGTGTCATATAATTATTTTTTTCTTTATGTGGGGATTCAAGGTTCACATCTGAAACAAAATTTTCAACTGATGTCATTGGTGATCGTTTTCTTTTTCGAATTACACGTTCATTATTGTTACACTTGGCATCGTTTTGGATTGATGAATATTCTGACATCATGGAAATTATATTAGTTTCGTCCATCTAAAATAAAATGCAGATCATGCCTAAATAAATGGTATATAGAAAATTTAACTCATTATAATTTAATTTATTCTTTCTAGACGATTTCAATCATTCTTTCCAAGTGCAAAAAGCGCTCTCATCATAACACTCTACAGAATTTCAATCAGTAATATACAAGCAGCGACCACCTTCTCGAGAAGAATCAGAGATAATAGAAATAGCAACGATTAAACTGAGAACTAACTTACATAACTGTGAACAGAAGGATAAAAAATTCTTTTTTTCTTCTCGTAGTTCGCTATACGATATAATGTACTAAAAAATGTATCCGATCGTTGTTTCTAAGAAAAATACTTTTCGAGATTTCGATTTTTCGACATTAATTTTCGATGCTTTGTTTTTCGACCTATCTCAGTATATTCTTTCTCGATATAGGATAAGCATATAAAAAATTGAAAAGATTTGAATCAATAAAATGGTCGAATGATATGAAACAAAATTGCAAAGGTCTGATATTGTACAAATTGATGAAGATTTTTTTATTTTGATAGAGGCGGCGAAACCGTACATGCAAAAACGTCGACGCTCGAACCGATTTTGAAATATAGACAGTGTGGAGACGGGGTGCTAAACAGCCCACATAATTTTAGGAATTTATTTGTCATATAATCACTACCCTACAAAGAAATATTTTATCGGCACTGGTTGTGCACCAATGCCAGAAAAGAATGTAAAAATCTCGCATCGGTGCGCACCAGTGCCGAAGTTTTGTTTTGTCAATTTCTGTCTATATTAACACCACAGTATACTGTTAATATTTCAGATGTTTTTCTGACTCCATCTTTTCCTTCTCATAAGAGAAGTGCCGAGGCAACGCCGCATGGTTTTGGCATGTCAATGTGATACTCATTAGTGCCGTACTCTAATACAAAATTCAGTATAAACAACCATAATAAAAAACTAATTAAATTGATTAAATAAATTTCAATGCGGCACTTTTTTGGCAGAAATATATCGGCACTTGCTGGGCACGGGTGCCAGTGACCGATGGCATGCCATGCACACCGATGCGCGCTGGTAGTGTCGCACTGAAATTATTTTTTAGAGTTTACCTCTCGTATCATCGACTCCTTTTTCCTTTGTTTATTATAAGTGTGTATTTGATGAACTGCAAAGAAACGAGGCTTTTTTGTCGATTCGTCCCAAAATACTCGCACTCACTTCTGACGTTGATGTGTCAAAGTACAGAATTCTATGCGTAAATACTCAAAAAAAATATCAGTATTTACGATGAGTTTTCCCAAAAAGTATTCGTCCCACAGCTTTTAACTCACGCTACCATCTCTATATTTTACAGTATAATATCTAACTCGGGAAGAACGCGTATAAGAGCATATTCACGTATGACTTTATTTTCACATACTTTTACAAAACAATTACGGTCTAATGATATGGTCATTTTATGTAGAGGAATATTCTAAATAACATAATTAACATAGCTATTAGTATTCTGAGCATCAAACGTCACATTATCCTATCATTTTAGGTAAAAAAAGATAGTATCATAAATGTCGACGAATCAGAGTAACCCATATAGAAAACAGCGTAAACAATGTCAAGCATTCATTCATGCTCTTGCAAAAATATAATTATAAAGGACAGAATTTTTTCAGGTAATTTCAGAGGTTCTAGTATTTCAATTTTTTTTTGCTCAAAGCTTGTGCCAGAGGAATAATAAATAAAACCTATGCTTCACTAAAGTTCTTTTCTGCTAGCAGTCAATTGACAACTTTTTTTGACGGCTCGTGGTGGTTGTCCTCTTCTTTTAGCTGAAAACAAGAATCCAGAATATATCGAGTCGAAGCGTGTTTTTCCATTGGTGGATACCCTACAAAGGGAAATAATGAAAACGTTGTCGCAGAAGTATGTTTCTCATTCAGGGGGTTGTTTCACAGAAATTCTTAAGTCGTCAACTTAAATCTACACTTAAGTCCATGTCTTATCTTAGTTTGAGACAAACTTAAGTTGACGAAGTTAAAGTGTTGCACAACTTCAAACTTGAGTTTTACTTAAAGTTACGTGCACAACTTAGTCGCACGGTCTGAAGTTAAGTTCATGCACTTAACTGATGCATAGATGCATTGCAATCTATGCGTACTTTTTTCAAAAAGAATAGAGCTCGTGATAGTTTGGGTATGGCATGAGCGGATGGAAAATATGGGAAAAGGAGAAAAAAGATTAAATAAAAAAACAAACAAATCGCAATGACTCATTTGTGATATCAATCACATATCGATAGATAAATTGTATCTGAATAACCCGTGACCAAATGACGCCTGAGTCAGGTGCTTGTTGTCAGGGGCGTCTGACAACAAGCTGTTAATGAATATATAATAAAGTTCTAAGTCATAAGCACAAATTTCTTCCACTTTTGCATCCTTTGATGCCCGATCCAGAGCATATTTCACTTTTCGTGAAGAAAACAGTCTTAGTCTCGTAGATTTTGGAAAAAGAACGCTCAATAGTCACGATCTGCAGTACCTGGAGAACCATTTCGCGTTTCTAGAAGTTCTCTACATCACTGCGTGCTTATTTTTCAAAAAATGTAACTAAGGAATAAAAAAGAAAGAAAAAACTCCGAGCAATTGGATAATGTCTGTCGACATAAAAACATGTTTTTTTCCGATTGCAGCTATCCAGAAGCCTATTGTTTCTCCAAAAATTAATTTTCTCTTGGCTAGGTGTTTTTTCGTACTCGAAGAACATTCATTAAATAACTTTTCTCTGATGGGGAATCGTTTCATTGAACAAAACTCTTTTTAACAGAGTGGTGTGTTGGTTTAAGACCCTCTCTACACATTTTTTTCTAACGGATTTGAACGAAACTTTTAAGAACTAAAGTTCACAATGTGAACAGGTTATGATAAAAATGTTTGGCTATCCTCTACGAACATTTCGGGTTGAAGGCCCAAAATTGTTAATTGTTGTAACCCAAACATCTGCAGTTTTCTCTGAAACAAAGTCGAAATTGAAAAATCTGTTTTACTTATATTGTGCAATTTTGTCTAGGCTTTCACGAACAAAAAAATCTTGTTACGTAAAATTTAGAACAAATTTGAATTTCTGACAGCTCATGAAAGGAGAAGGAAAGTAGGTCATATAAATTGTATTTTGAGAAAGAGCTCTTTTAGTGGAGTGTGTTTAAGCAAATTCGAGTGCGTATTGAAAAATGATATTTAGTGTAACTTCACCTTTTTTACACTTTTTGTAGTATAAGGGTAGAATTAATACCGAAAATGCTTTATGATGATGAAATGTAGCTAATCAAGATTTTAGTATAAAGCCTCGTGCTGTTAAAAGTGTCTTCATTTTTTCGTAGCACATGGTAGACACAATAAGACATTTTTGTGTCCGGACATATTGGAGGCACTTGTAAGACATATTAATGAAAACGATAACGCGCCATCAATAAATCGTCTGTCATGGTTTCCATAAGGTTTTATCTGTCAAAAAAATTTCTTTCACAGCGTAACGCCTTTCTCAACAGCCACTGGTTAACTAGCGCCATTATTTCTTTTATTTATTTTCCAAAATACAAGTGTCAATAAAAAACAGTTAAAAAATGTTGTTTGTTTAGTTTAATACTTCAATTTTTATATCATATTATAATCGCAGCAAGAGTTAAGACAAACTTAAGACAAGTACAGACTACTCTTAACTTAAGCGTGGACTTAAGTCTAACTTAAGTTAAGTCTATGACTTAATAATTTCGGTGAAATACCTCCCAGAGATCTAAGTAAAAAGTGAGAGAAACTAATCGTATTTGATACAATTAGATTCAGATTTTCATCTAGATCATGAACATAAAGTTTATTTCGAATAAAAAGCCTATGATAATTAAAAACTAATTAAATTTTATTGTGTTTCACTCTAGACTATATGGAAGGAAAGAGAAAATTATTTTCCTTTCTCTTTTCCATGTGCAGCATGATGTCCTTGTATAAAAAATTTTATTCAATCTTTTCAGCATAAGGAGACTTCCCAAACATCTGCTCAAAATTTCTGCATGTACTTAGAATTTTGATTTCTACACGAATCTCAGCGCTTCAAAAGGCGGAAACGTGTTCTCGGGCAGATATATGCGTTTTATTGAAATTTTGATAAAATTAAGATTTATTTTTTAATAATAAAATATTAATTTCGTTCAAAATTCGTTCGATAAAGCGCCTGAAACTTCATATATCTACGAAATTTTGCTCTTTGGAACAAATTTTGGCAATACGTCGGGACAAAATTAGTTGACATATATATGCAATCAACTATGCTGATCACGAATATTAAGTCGAATCTTACTAACCAGTTTTTCGAAATTGTACACATGAAATATACAGTATAAGTGAGGGATATTCGGGGAGTTTGAACAAATTATTTGTCAGGAGAAAGACGGTTATACTGCACCATTGAGCAGGTACGGACATTTCCATCCCGTAGCTTGTTCTCAAAAAGCTGTACCTATATCCATACGTAGCATAGACTCCTGAATATATAAAACAATTCTAAAGTAATGTCTAAGGTTTTTACCAAAATAGTAGTGGTTACTTTCTCAAATGTAGTTTTTGATAAAGAAAAGATGAAGATCCTTGATTTTGGTGATTTTATTAGTTGAAGATTGCTACTTCAGCATCGCTGCGATGCATCATGTTTTACTCGCTCATTTATTCGAGAACATGATGCATTCGAGGTAGTACATGTAGCACAACGCTCACATTTCTAGTATGAATGATGAAATTCTCTAGAGATATTACGATGGGTCAATAGCATAACCAGGAATTTCCACCTGGTGGACGAACTTAGGTCAAATCGAAACAAGAACTGGGCTAACCTATAAAGATTCGGGAAAAAGCACGGAGCCAAAGAATTTTTGAAAAATTTTAGCTGTGAAATCATTGCGAAACATGAGGACTGCTTAGTTTCGCAAGATGATATGACTAATAATCTCTCAAAACGTACTGAATTGTGCGATTAAAGAAAATCGCGAGAATTTTCTTTTTTTCAAATGTTAAAGTGATAAGCAAAACTAAGTGTTTTGCTTTTTGAACTTATCTATCTTTCCGACTTTGTTTATCAAAAGGAAAAACGTTTATTTTTGCTTCGTCTAAAAGACGCACGTGTAGGTACTACATGCAATTTTTATATATATTCATACAGATACGTCTATTATATGTACACGTTGTCATTCTCAACTTTTTTTCGTCTGCTTGCATGATATCTGTATATATATGCAATTTATCCTACATAGTTCTATTTTTATAAACGAAAAATAAGCACAAAACAATCCTTACTCACTTTTTTATTGCGTTGAAAGAGAAAAACAATTAACTTCTAATTTAAATTATTTTGAGTGTGGAAAAAGTAGCATATTTTTTTATTTTTCCTTGTGGACGGACAGTGTAAAGTTAATAAGATTTCTGACTGTGCGCACCGTCTTTATAAATGACAACTATGACTGATTCGGTACACTTCAGCTGTATCCGATATTTGTAATGAAAAAGTTGTTGATTGAGACACTGCAGTAGAAGTTAAAGTTGGAACAATACTCATGAATAAAGGAAAAGTACCAGTTATGTATCTAATATGATAGTTGGAAATCAGTTATATTTAAATTAATTAATTAACAACTCTAAACTATGTGTGTGTGTAATGAATAAACAACTTTGCTGATCCGATGCATTTCAGATGTGCACGATATCTGCACTATTGAGCTGTTTATTCTGAAAACGTGTTAATAAATTTTAAAAGGTTCTTTTTCTTCATAAAACGGGAAGACCAATTTCACCTGTGCTTGGTACAACAAGAAGAAGCAGTATAGAGCCGTAGCACAGTGGTTTTGTACGAAGAACGTGACTTTTTTCGTCGCAGGTTTGAATCCGGCACGGAAATCAAAGTGACCCATTTAAGATAAATGGTGATCCTTTAGCTGGTATTTTCCTCTTAGAGGAAGTGGCGGTGAATGGGAGAACAGCAGCTAAAGAATTACCCTCCATGGGGAAAAAAGCGCCAAGTTTTGTTATGGAAACCCATAAAGGTTGCTGGAAACTGTCCCTTCAGGTTCTCTATATTGAAT